ATGTGTGTATGTGTGTATGTGTGTATGTGTGTATGTGTGTGTGTGTATTTATGTGCATGAATATGTATAAATTATGGAGTTGAAAAAAAAAGAGGTCAGTCAAAAAGAGCGATTAACTAGTTACATACCATACTATGCAATGAATCCGCCAATTTTTGGAGAGGGTTTTCAGGTGTAACCAGCGGATGGGTTGTTACGGCAGGTCTGTTGATCAATGACAAATTATTACTTAATATTTTATCATAGCTGATCTGCTTACAATTCAAAGGACATCTGTATTATTATCAAGTGAAACACCCTATGGGAATAGATTCAGTTGCTTTTGGTATTAATTGATAATGGGGGCATGCATAATAGTATATATTAGCTTCACTGAAATATGGCATAAATATAATATAAATAAGTAAAATAGTTGAATCACTCAATGCATTACCCTAAAAATCTCTTTCTATTTCTCCTTTCAATTTTTTCTTTTCCTTTACCCACTCCATCATCCTCCCTTCTTCTTGTAAACTCCAAACTCCTCCCTTCTTGCACTCTGCCCACTCCCTTTCTCCCTTCTTCACTCTGTCTTTACCCACTCCCTCCTCTCTCCTTCCCCTTTACACAATCCCTCTTTCTCTTTTTCTCTCTCATCAAGAAATGGCAGGGTTAGAACATGCATTTTTATCATTGTTAGGGGGCCATGATCCCTAAAATCCTTAACTGGAAAGCAAAATCTCAACCGTATCTGAATGAAGAGCAGCATAGACAGCTGAGGTGGAGGTAAATGCCCCTTACTGCACACTTAGGCTTGAGTTATTTTGCAAATTATGGGAGCTTCAGGATATTCATAATGTGTTTACATATCATTTGTATCAAATATTTCTATCATATTTGATCAGCAGACACTGATAGGACTCCACTGATACTAAATTTGATGGGTTTTAAGATGCAGACGAGTCCTAGCAATATACTGCACATTCTGTCAATGTCTAACTTCTACATTATATCTTCAGGCATGATAAAGCTTAAAATTATTCTTTAACCCTTTGCTGACAGGCATGGCATGTATGTACATGCCATGCCCATTGTGAGTTTACTTGTTTGATTGTTTTTACTCATAGATGGCTACATTTGCACTAAGTCACCAATAAGCCAGTTACGAGTACTGACTGCTTCGCCCGTTTACCCCTTTCTTTGATTCCCAAAAATATTTTACATTATCTTATTTTGCTGTTACTAATTTTATAACAATATAGTAATTATAATGTTTATAATAAAAATAACACCATCGATATTCATAGCAGTGGTAAAAAAATACATTTTTCTCGCCAATTCAAGGAAAAGTGAAATCAGTTAAGGTCCCAAGATCTACTAATTGATTCCTTTGTGGCAAAGCACTAGCAGAGCTATTTATGTGCAGAGACATTTCACAAAATATAAAAAAAAGACACATATTCCCCAGTTTTTATTCATTTCCCCTGCGGCAATGGATAACTGCAACAATTTCACGAGGGATACAACTACTAACTACCAGAATGCATATGGTGGAACTGTGTTAGCCTCTTTTACTGGAGCACAGACAGATGTGAAACCTGTGAAAAAAATTTGGATAATACAAGAGCCAAACAGTAAGTGCATGCACACACATACACACACACTCCACAAAAAAGGCACACATATGAAACACACACACACACACACACACACACACACACACACACACACACACACACCATACACACACACAATCTCATGCATAGTCATAGGTTTTACAGCAGCAATAAGAGTATAGTATGAAAGAAGTACCATGAAACTAAAGAATCACACGCACACGCACACACACACACACACACACACACACACACACACACACACACACACACACCACACACACACACGCACACGCACAACACACTCACCACAAAAACACAACCACAAAATACAAAAACACACCCACACCCACACACCACAAAAACACACACACACACACACACACACACACACACACACACACACGCACACGGCGCACACGCACACACACACTCACCACAAAAACACAACCACAAAAATACAAAAACACAACCACACCCACACACCACAAAAACACACAGAAAAACACACACACACACACACACAGATCATTCATACTCACATTATTATTAAAACTAAAAGAAAATAAGAAAAAAAAATCATTATATACAAATGATTCTAATATCGACTAACATCTACAGCTTTTCTCCTTTGATTAGAAATCTACAAGATCTGAAATAAATCTTGTCCTTAACAGATAAAAAAAAGGAAAACATTATTGCAATATTCTCATCCAATAATGAACCATTCCTACTCTTCTTTCTCTAAGTTGATATATATTCTCTATCCTCTCATACCTTTCTCCCAGTCAACTTCTTCAATTTACGCAATCACTCTGGCTATCAATGTCTCTTCTTCTCCCAATTTATCCGATTTACATATATTTCTCCTTCGTGTCCCTTCTCCTCTCGTGTTTACATCGGGCGCTCGACGTCGCTTGCGCTCCGGATCCAAGGCACGAGGGCGGTTGAGAGCATCCATTCCCTGGCGTAATGTGGGTGAAGAAAAAAGGGTAAAAAAAGGGTCTTAGTTTGGAAAGTTGTTCAGGATAAGTGTGTATATATACCACAGCAAGAAAAAGAAAGATTTTTTTTTTATTCTATTGACGTGGGGTATCGGATGATAGATAGATAGATAAATAGATAGACAAACAGACAGATAGAGAGATAGATAGAGAGAGAGACAGAGAAAGCAGTCTTGAATTCCTATTGCATTTCAATCTCCAGAATGCTTCTGTCTGAGGACACTCTGAAGAAGCTGGCGCTGTCCGAGGACAGAGCCAGCTTCTCTTGGGTGTCCTCGGACGGAGCAGCTGTCTGTGGACACACTGGAGAAGCTGGCTCCTCTAGGGTGTCCTCAGACAGAAGCAGCTCCTCCAGAGTGTTCTCGGACAGAGCCTCCATGGTGTCCACGGACAGCAGCTCCTCCAGGGTTTGAGGACACCCTGAAGAAGCTGGTGCCTTCAGTGTGTCCTCAGACAGAAGCAGCTCCTCCATGGTGTCCCACGGACAGCAGCTCCTCCAGGGTCTGGGGACACCCTGAAGGAGCTGGCGCCTTCAGTGTGTCCTTAGATAGAAGCAGCTCCTCCAGGGTGTCCTCGGACGGAGCCCTAGAAGCTGTCCTCAGACGGCAGTTCTTCTAGGGCTCCGTCCAAGGACACACTGAAGGAGCTGGCTCCATCCGGGGACACACTGAATGGTTAATGGTTAATGGTTAAAAGCGAGATAAATGTGCTAGACATCTAAGGTCATGTAGTACTATAGTTAATGTTAGTGAAAGGTGGTTGAGTTAGTGATTAGTTGTCTAAGCTGGGCAAAGGAATTGGTGAGTTAAAGGGTTAAGGTCGGGTGTTAGATTAGATAAAGGATATGTATGCGTTTGAGGAAAGAGAACAGGTTGTTGATGCAGAAAGTGTGGGATTCTGTAAGGATGTCTGATAGGTTGGGAGGTCGGTGAAGGGAGGTACGGGCTGCTTCAAAACGTGGGCACGACAATAGGATGTGTACGATTGAAAGGGGAACATTACATAAGGAACATAGGGGTGGATCAGATTGTGACATCAGATAGGAGTGTGTTAGACGGGTGTGGCCAATGCGTAAGCGGGCGAGAGCAGTCTCCCAACGTCCTGTTCCGATGAAATGGAGCTGACCAGGAGGAGATTGATAGTTTTACAGAATGTAATTTATTAGTGTGGAGGCTTGACCAAAAAGATTGCCATCGTTTATACAAGAAGGTCTTAAAGTGTGGGTAATAATCCGTGGCTGGGATACGTGAGAAGCGTGGTTGGTATGATGTGGACATAGCAGCGTGGCGTGCTAGTGTATCTGCCTGTTCATTGCCGGGGATTCCAACATGCTGGGCACCCAGCAAATTTGATTGTTTTATGGCGTGTGGACAGGTAGAACAACCAGTTCTGGATCTTACAAACAAGGGGGTTGGTGCTGTGTATTGACTTTATAAGAGTTAATGAGACTACGGGAGTCAGTAAAAATTGTAAAAGAGGAAGAGGAGAGTGAGTATATTGTTTTAGGGCAAAAAGGAGTGCATACAGTTCTGTAGTAAGGACACTGGATTCAGGAGGAAGGGAGTATTTGAAAGTACGAGTTGGGAATAATACTGCAAAAACCAGCACCAGAGGTGGATTTGGAGCCATCAGTATATACGTGTATACTAGAGGAATGGGTGGAGACATGGTCAAGGAAATGGATGAGAAGGACAGTAGGAGGAATATTTGATTTTGGTGGGTCGGTGAAAACAGAAGAGCAAATATGGGGGTGAGGTATAAGCCATGGAGGGACGGAATGGACAGAGAACGGGAGAGGTTGGAGATGGGGAAAGGGGAATGGGAGAGGAGGGTATCCATGCGAGTGGAGAAAGGAGTAGGTAAGCGTGGAGATGAAGCTAAGGTAGGAAGTAGGGATTGTGGATAGTTTAGTGAGGGGAAGTTGGTGGAAACGAACATAACATCGGAGAGAGAGAAGGGCACGACATCGAGATAGAGATGGTATGCCTGATTCAGTATACAGGCTCTCAACTGGAGAGGAGCGGAAGGCGCCTAGTGCTAAGCGAAGACCACAGTGATGGATTGTGTCAAGATGGGCAAGGAGAGAAGTTGAGGCAGAGGAGTAAATATGGCATCCATAATCAAGAGTGGAGAGGATCAAAGTAACATGAAGATGAAGAAGAGTTTTGCGATCTGAGCCCCATGATATATGGGATAGAGTTTTTAAAATTCGAAGGCGGCGGAGAGCTTTTTCTTTAATGTGTAGAATATGGTCTCGCCAGGTCAGTTTGGAGTCAAAAATGACGCCTAGGAATTTGCCAGAGGAACGGCATTGGAGTGGAGTGCCATATAAGAAGAGTGGGGTAGGGGACTTACACGTGAGCGAGAGAAAAGGATGGAGAAAGATTTAGAGATAGAAAAGCGGAAGCCATGGTTTGTGGCCCAGGAAGATACTGATGAGATTGCAGATTGAAGAAATTGGTAGAGATTTGGTATGGATGTGCCTGAGGCATAGATGGTTAAATCATCAACATATAGTGATGACCGGGCTCCTGGTGTAAAACTGAGACAATATCATTAACAGCTAGAAGGAATAAAGTGGTACTGAGCACACTGCTTTGTGGGACACCTTCGATTTGAGGAAAGAAAGATGATGTGGCAGAAGCAATTTTGACCTGAAAAGTGCGTTGGGAGAGGAAAGACTTTATGAAGACACCCATGTTTCCACGTATGCCTAGAGAGGACAATTGTTGTATCATATGCTTTTTCTAGATCAAAAAATATAGCTAGTACGGATTCATGGCGTGCAAATGCGGATGTAATATATGTTTCAAAATGAGCAAGGGGGTCAGCTGTGCTTCTGGCACGGCGAAAACCGAATTGGGAAGGAGAGAGAAGATTGTGAGATTCAAGATACCACATCAAGCGGAAGTTCACCATTCGCTCTAATAGTTTGCACAAGCAGCTAGTTAGTGCGATAGGCCGATAGTCTTGAGGGAGGGTACCCGATTTATTGGGTTTCATGAAGGGAAGGATAAGAGCTTCTCGCCAATTAGAAGGAAAATTTCCTGATGTCCATATGTGGGTGTAAATTTTTAATAGGAAGGATAAGGAGGAAGATGGGAGTTGCGGAGCATACGGTAGTGAATACGTCAGGGCCTTCATGAGTGTTGGCGGCACGATTGTAGCGGCAAGTAATGAGTCAGAGGAGAAAATGGAGCATTCTAGGACTCAGCAGAGGATGGGGTGAAGGTAATGGGGGTTACGTTCTTGGTGGGCGTGATAGAAGAGAAGTGTGGAGAAAGGTGAGAGCCACTACTGACCCCCCCCCATGGCTGAAAGAATCACCAAGTTCATTAGCGACTTGAGAGAGGATCAGAAATGAGGGATCTGAATATGGAGGAAGGGGGCAGGATGGGGGGGTTGTTTGCCTGATAGTTGATGGATCGTCGCCATACATTTGAGATAGATGTAGAGGATGTAATTGATGAACATAATTTCGCCAGCTATTTGTTTTACTATTCCGGATTGTACGACGAAGACAGGCAGATGCTCTTTTAAAGGAGATAAGGGCTGATAGTTGATTTGGAGTACCTCTCTTGTAGCGGTAAACTGTTTCCAGGCTGCACGTTTTTAAGCGAAGTGCTTTAGTGCAATCAGAATTCCACCATGGAACACATTTAGAGGGTATATGGTCTTGAGGTTCGAGGGATAGCTGTATGTGCAGCTCTTAAGACTGTAGTTGTGAAACATTGTATCATTTCTGAAATGGAGGTGAATGAGGATGGAGGGGTATGAATAGCAGAGAGTGAAGTGAAAGTATGCCAGTCGGCTCTATCAAAGCACCAGCGTGGGGAGTTAGGAAGTGGTACGTATGGAGTAGGAGAAAGGAGAACTGGAAAGTGGTCACTATAGGGAAGTGGTCTAAAACTGACCAGTGGAAATCTATATGAAGAGAAGGGGAGCATAGAGAGAGGTCAATGCATGAAAAAGATTGCGTGCGTGTATCAAAGTGTGTTGGGCGATCTGAATTTAGAATAGTAAGGTCAGCTGTGGAGAGGAAGCGCTCTAGAGATCGGCCTCGGGAGTTGGTAATAGAATCACCCCAAAGAGTGTGGCGGCGGTTAAAGTCGCCCGCTATGAGAAAGGTGGTTGAAGTTGGGAAATTAGATTTTCAAAAGCAACAAAGTCAATGGGGTGGGAAGGGGATAAGTAGACTGAAATCACTGTGATCCAACGATGAAGGAAGATACGAATAACTGTGCAAAGGACATTGGTTTGAAAGGGTGGTGTGACATAAGGTGTTTTCTGATTGATAAGTATGGACGAGACATAAAGGGAATGTGGGGAAGAGACAAAATGATAATTGGGGATTGGTATTGGAGGATGTGTCAGAAAGGTTTCTTGAAGGCATACAATAGATGGGTTATAAGAGGAAAGGATATGACGAAGGTCAGGTCTGTGGGAGCGGAAACCGCGAATATTCCAATGAAGGATAGTTATACTTTCGTTGATTTAGTGATATAGATTGCAGTACGTGTTGGAGACTTTGAGGGGGGAAGCAGCTAGAGGGTGGGGATAAGGACTGAGAGGTTTGAGATGGGAGAGATGTGGGAGTTGGTGTTCTATCAGGAGAGGTATTAGGAGATGGAGGGTCTGAGGAAGGAGATACTTGTGACATCAGGGATTCACCGTGTGTATCCAGGAGGGAGTGGAAGGGATAGAGGGGATGGTGGGAGGGTTAATGTGGGCGGGTCGGGGTCGGGGGGGATGGGCCTGTGTTGGGGGGGGGGGTAGGAGGATAGGGTGTAGGGGGGATATCGTTAGGAGGAGGATGGATATCAGCAGTTACTTGGAGTGTGGAAGGAGCAGGGGTTGTAGGTTGAGTGTCAGTTTGCATTAAGTAATCTTGAATATTTTCA